TCCAGCGGCACACCGTCCCAGGGCGTCCCCGACGCCCTGGTCTGCATCCCCCCTAACTTTGTCTTGTGCTTTACCATTTAACAACTAGATATTATTTTTTCCTGGTTGCAAGATTAGAAAAGCAAGAGGGCCAGAATCCACATGCTGAACCCCTCATCACCAGTAGTTCTGGGGAACTTTTGCATCTCAACAATCCAAACTTTTGGATCTCAACAGTCCAAATTTAGAGTCAAAATGTTTCAGGATTCCTGTCCGGGTCTGAGACATGCATCCTCTGTTCCCAGGGTCATTCAATCAGAGGAGATGGCAACCTGAACAGTTTCAGAGCTGTTTAGCAAACTGGTCTTTGCATGACTTGGAGAAGATGGAGGGCTTGTTTGTGTGCATGTTTGGACTAGTGTCTGGATGATGAAGAGGTGGAGTGCAGCATGAGCTCTCAATCTGCACTGAATCACTGCTGAAACAACAGCAACTTTGAGGCTACAGCGTGCTAGCTTTCTTGTACCAAGGAAATTGCCAATTAATTTTTAACACTGTATTATATGCTACCATTTTTGAGAGCCACTGGACGTAATTTCCATTACTGAACTTCTCTATCAGTGATCTTGCAATTATATAAATAAAACCAGAGCTACAACTGGAATCCTTCCACATCTTCCCCGTGTATGTACATTTTTTCAGCCTTGAGAATCACATCTGGTGTTGCCTGGGGGGGTGGGCTTCTCATGCAAATCCACACACAAATGCACTGTTAGTGGCAGGAAAATTGATGTTCGAAGTGCTGCAGGTAGGGAGAGGCTTACATCTTGTCTGCCCATCACTGACCTCTATTGGGGTTGCTACAAGCAAGGAAACAGTAATTGTGGAAGCCTTTCACGTTTCTCATCCTCAGCAATTCTAAAATTGATGGTCCAAGTCTTCTAACAGTCATGCCAAAATAGTGCTTTCCCCTGCTGCTCAGTTAATCAGCAGGACAGCTGCTCTGGGACAAGCTAAAGGCCATATGGAGTCCTGGAACTGACATCTGTGCACCTTGCTGTATCCAAGAAATAAGGGAGGGAAATGAATGGAGACTCCACCCAGGCATTTAGATTCAGGAGTTTGTTACAACTGATTTGTTTTTCATATGGATTTTAAAATTGATTATGAATTACTAATATATTCCTTCCCTGTTTGTAATACAAATTATTATATATTAAACTGCATTTGTTTTAAATGTTGTAAACCACTTTGAATCCCCAGATGGGGAAAAAGGCAGGAAATAAATATTACAATGATGACAAGAACTCTAACCACCCTACAGAAAAATTTTTTTTAAAAGATATCAGGCAATTGCCGAGTTCTATTCTAGGTGCTAACACTAGTGATAGACAATTGTACCTGTAGGGGTCTAGATGGTAATCTTGGTAGGTCTCACTCTCTTGAGTATGGCTTAAAGGGGCATGATTTTTCAGTCTTGCTGAAGCTGTCTAATTTTGGCCAGTGCTTTGACAGAAACAGCCCATGTACCCCATTAATGCTGACTTGAATTCCAAAGAAGAAAGCTGTTTAAGTTAATAAACAGATAAAGTACTCTTCCCTGAATTACTGAAAAGGTTTGTTTAAATATCTGTGATGTAAGCTTCTTACTTATTTACTGGTCAGTACTTTATACATTTAAATATATGTTTATGTTCAAGTTCAGCACTCTAGAATTTCTGAATAATAATAAATGAACAGTAGTACCCAGTATGGAACAAGGAGATAGCCTATTTTCCACTGCTAGCATTAAAATGTAGTAAGCACCACTACCTTGCAAGGGAATAGTCCTATGCTTATTAGCAACTTTGGATTTCTGTTCACACAGCTTTTAACTGTTCTGCAAATTGAAGCAATGAAACAAGCATCGTTCAATAACTGTGTGCCATGCAGCTACAGAGGTAAGATATGTTTTAAAAGAAACAGAAAACGTATCCCACAAAATAAATTGCATTGTGGCCTGGGTTGTACAGCTAAGACTTAAAATGTAACCCCATATATTTTAATGGAACTGTTTAAAAGTAGAACTTGCCATATGAAAGAAATATAATACTACCACCAAAAAAAGCAGCTTTACATAGAATTCTTTTCACCACGCCACTCCACTATGCATTTATGCTGTGCCCTGATGCTATTAAGCTAAGCATTTCCCTGCCCATGTCAGATGTAGTGATGGGTCTATCTGGTAAGTATGGGCCTTTGCAGACTGTTAGAAATAGTGCAAACTGAGTGCACTTTAACAGCCCTGACTCAGTGCTAGGGAATCATGAGAACTGTAGTTTATTGTGACACCAGAGCTCTCTGACAGAGAAGGCTCAATGTCTCAGAAAACACTACAATTCCCATGATTCCCTAGCATTGAGCCAGGACAGTTAAAGTGGTCTCAAGATGGATTATTTCTGGCAGTCTGTACAGGCCCTATGTTTCTCATACTTCCTCCTTTTCTCACCTCTAAATCAATGCAGGAAGGTGCCATGTGAATGTATGTGAGTGTTCAATGGGAAAACATATGCATTTTCTGCTGCATTATAATGGATGCATTAAGGGACATATAACCACATCTATTAAAACATGTTTGTACACATTTTAGAAATATACAATGTTTGTGTACATTTTTCGAATCTACACTTGTTGTTGAAGGCATTCTTTATATTCTTCTTTTTCACTGAATTCACTGCAAGCCCAGAAAGATTGTACTCATTGTCTGCCTTCTCTTCTGGTACATCTAGGGACGTTATCACACGGGGCCTAAAGCAGTCCCATCCCCGTCGCATCCCCGTCCCATTGCGGTTCCTTTTCAATCCAGAACTTACCGGCAAAAAGAAAGCAGCATCATTCCGGTATCATTCTGGTTGCGGCAGAAATGTAATTCCCAAAGAATCCGGCATTCAAAAGAACGGGGATGATGCCGGATGATGCCGCAATGGGACGGGGATGGGACGGGGATGGGTGCGACGTCGTGTGAAGACACGGGGAAAAGAACCGCAATGGGACGGGGATGGGCGGGGTTTCTCTGCGACGTCGTGTGAACACAGGGGAAAAGGAAGCGGAATGGGATAGGGATGCGATGGGGATGGCACTGCTTTAGACCCCGTGTGATAACGTCCTAGGTCTTGCAGTGGCAGCTGGTGGCTTCCATGTTAGTTAGGCAATGAATCCATTCCAGAATCTGGATTCTAAAGGAATTATGCAAGGTGCTGGACTTATTTTGCGGGATAAACTTTAGCCCATTGGGTGTTTCTTTAAATTGTGGGAAAAATCTAAAGACCAACTATTCTATTGACATGGAAGCTACCACTGAGAAATCTGTCCTGTCACTAAATTTAATTTTAATTTTTTAAAGAATTTATGGATATAGGTCCTTAAAAATTAAAATTAAAAATTAATTTAATGACAGAATAGATTTCTCAGACATCAAATTCAAGAAAACATGGGATACATTGTACTACCATGTTCTGAATGAAAAGAAGATAAATTTGACATGCAGAAAGATTTTAGCAGTAGCCTAGGTATTTTTCTAAGATTTCTAAGAAGGCTTTCTTCTAAGGATATATCTCTTGTAAGGTATAGTTTCTTCTTAAGATGCTCATGTTTTGCAGCCATGAACAAAACTTCATCTAACCCCATTAATATTTTTTACTGAAAAACCCTATGCCATTTTGAGACTGGGATCATACTGGAGCAAAAGTTATCCAAGATAAGGATCCAAAGATCAGGCACTGGTATCCTTTGCATAGCCTTCTTTATTTCCACATTTCTGTATTACATTCACAAAGCCTCCAAGCCATTACATAATTCAGGTATAATCCATTTTGTTCTCCACAGCAAAGGGAACTTAAGTCTCTGCGACATGTTACAAAATATATTACTTTGAATGCAAGCAAGCAAGAGATGAAACAAGGAAAGACAAACTAAGGTCAGTGTCTGTAGCTGGGTTTTAAAAGATTTGCTCACACTTCTGCATATCATATCTGACAACATAAATTGTAAGTTCTGCAATTTTATTTTATGTGGTGCTATTGCTAGGATTTGAGGTAGGGAGGTAAGAAGTGTGCATTGTTTGAATGATATAAAATAGCATTTCCCTGGTGAGCTGCAAAAAATAAAAAATAAAAAAATGAAATGAATAAGAAACTAAATGACATTTCACATAACCAAAAAGCATCCTGTGCAGCCATCAACTGGATTTCACTGATAGAATTAAGGACAGATTTTGGCCTTTTGTGTCAGAAAACAAAGCCTTGCAGTTGGTTAGAAACAGAGATGCAGGTCCCCCCATCTGACATGGATTTTGAAGACCATATGCATATTTTGGCTTGAGCCTCTCCCTAAGGAATCCAAGGCCAAACAATGCTTGTTTTACAAGCCACCCAAACACTACAGGGACATTCTAACAGGCATAGTAAATCATGGAGATGGACTCTAAAGAGAACCAAGCAATATTTGTAGATTGCTGTAAAGAATGAAGGGCAGAAGCAGAATAGCCTTATTATTTACAGTCATTTGACAGGGTCATCGTAAAGGTAAATTAGTATTAATTTGCTAGTGGAGTGCAAGTCATGCACTCTATTGCTCAAAAACATTCAATTTACTAAAGTCAATTTGGCTTCTTTCCAGATCTGGAAAATAAATATTATGATGCTGAGTTAAATATAATCTGTGACATGGACTTGCAAGAGAAAAAGACTATGAGAACCACTGGTTCTTATAGCTTATGGTACACACTTTTTAACAAAAATTGGATGGTTGTGTATATGTATGTATGCATGCATGCACACGGGAGTGTTAAATAAGTGTGTGTACAAATGTAATAAATTATTACACAAATTAATGTTACTAGTTAGTTTCTTCATCTATTTTTCCCACTACCTAGTAAACCCTTAGAGAGCCAGTGTGGTGTAGTGGTGTGAATGTTGGCCTACAACTCTGGAGACCAAGGTTCAATGCCTTGCTTGGACATGAAACCCACTGGGTGACCTTGGGCAAGTCACATGCTGTCAAGCTCAGAGGAAGGCAATGGCAAACCTTCTCTGAACAAATCTTGCCAATAAAACTCCATGATAGGTTCACCTTAGGGTCACCCTAATTCAGGACAACTTGAAGGCACACAACAACAGCAACAACAACAGTAAACCCCTATATTATAGCCATCTTCACAGTCATTCAACTGCTGCCATTATGTTCTCTTCCTGACTCCTCTTTAACCCCAACTCCCTGCTTTATGTGCCCCCCAGGATGTCTTCTGGTTTCTACATTTTTATTTTTATTTATATTTATATTCACTTTTTCATGCAGTTCCAGAACTGACACCACATGATTGCCAATATTGCAGCTGCCCTGGCAGCGATGTTCAAACCTATCATGTGATTGTGTGATTGAGAGATCATTGATGGGTTGTGATTGAGAGATCATTGATGGGTTTCCTCTGTCAATGAAAAGGAATGCCTTAAGCACATCTAGGGGATGCAGCAGCCATAGTTTAGAGGTGACATCATGCAATAAGTATCACCAAAGCCATATTTTTCCAGGTCTAATAGCAGTTCAAAAGCCGTGTGTAGTAATTTCTAGTGTTTTACATTTTATTCATGCAAGTAAATGTATTGAGAATGTTAAAGTCTCATGACTACCCTTCTTGGTGAAATGATTAACACTAATGCTGGTGAAGGCAGGATAATTCCAGTCCATTATTGGACCATCCAACATTTGTTCTAGATTTCCATCAGTGCCATTACTGGTTCCTGCTTATTGGGAAACTCCTCAGTTAGGAGGGAGGCAGTGCATAAATAGCATTGGTATTTCCATTACCAAGCATCATGGTACCCATGATTCATGATAGCTTGGCCCTATTGGACTGACTGACTCAGAGCATCTTTTATCCAGACTTGTATAGTATGTAAATTGGGCTGTGTGTGAAGTGTGTGATAAAAGACCATGTACAGAATCCTGTTAATGGTTTTTTGTGGGTTTTTTGGGCTGTGTTGCCATGTTCTAGAAGAATTTCTTTCTGACGTTTTGCGTCAGAATCTTCAGAGAAGACGCCAGCCACAGATGCTGACGAAATGTGAGAAAGAAACTCTTCTGGAACATGGCCACACAGCCTGAAAAACCCACAAAAAAACTATGGATGCTGGCCATGAAAGCCTACGACTTCACATCCTGTTAATGCATTATGCTAGTATAAAATTAGTTGCGCAAGCCATTGGGCTTTCTCAAAGATTGTGTTGATCCTTAGTACAGGTTGTTATTCTCCAAGTACATACACAACATTTTGGGTGTTCAAGGCCTTGACAAGCATTACACAATCAGTTCCACAACCATGAAAAACAGTGTGGTGGTGTATGACTATAATGCCATACTAAAGGATTGAGGGTGTTGAAACTTCCTTTGGGTTTTAGGGATCAGGCATGGAAGTGCCATTCCAACCCCCTTAATAACAGTTACACCTAGCAGTACAAAAATAAACAGATAAGCATAAAACTAACAAATTACAGAACAGTAAAAGAGATTGGAAGCAGGGTGAGGGGTTAGTGGGGAGGGGAAGCCCTGACAAGTCTGAGATAATTACCGCAGGCTCCAAAAACTTTCTCTTTTATTATTGTAAACCACAAACTTTTTAAAATTGATGCATATTTTATCACAGCACTCTTGCCATATGTGATCTGAAGATTCCAAGCTTGTCCCTGAGGACAGCAGTACTGATAAAGATAATGAAGAATTCCTTTCATGCTCCCCTCAATACAGGCACAGCTATGACTGAAATTAACATCTTCTTATAATGAAACACCAATTTGCTGCCACAACCAGAAACAACAGCTGTATAGTTCATCTAGTTATTCCCTTCCACTCTAACTCCCTTTATGGATTGTGAAGATGTATGCTCTGCCAAATAAAAGCACTGGGGCTGGTTATCACTGAAAGTGCAGGAAGAATCTAAAGGGTACACACATGTACACACATACATGTACAATGCTAGAAGATTTGGGGAACTGTAGTCCAATAAAGTAACTTTTCAAAGCTGATACACACACACACACACACACACACACACCACATGCATATGTGTGTGCATGCGTGTGCATGCACACACACACACATACACACACTTATCCACTGAAATTCAGAATATAAAAGTAATGCCAGGTTTTAGAAAGGGTTAAATCAATACCAGGTTCTAAACCAGGCTTATAAACAAAGTTACTAGCCAGTAGGTCTTTACCCCGAATTGGCTCACTGGTAACTGGTAAAGGAGGCAGTGAGACAAAGGAGCACCATCTTTTACTCCCACACTAGGTGCAGGATGTAAATGCACAGGGACAGATTCTATCACATAGTCTTGTCCCCAGGCAATACTCATCCCATACCTGGCCTGTGCTTCTCTCAGACCTTTAAAGAATGGGATTTTCCAGGAGAAGGTCCAGGAGAAGCCCAGGTAAGGTACAGGGATGAGTACTGACTGGGGACGGAGCTGTGTGATGGAATCTGTCCCTGTGTGTTTACATGCCATGCTTAGCGTGGGAATAAAAGACAGTGCGCTAAACTCCAAAGACATTTATCCCTCCAGAAGCACCTATAGAACTTCTACACTGGATGCAACACGCAGCTTTTTTCTTCTGGCAATGAATATAGGTACTATGCTGGGCAAAGAGGAAAAGTGGCACAGTGCCTGATCTTCTCTTTGACCTCTGAAAGTCAGCTTGCTGTCTTTTATGAAGTTCCAGGCACTCAAATGCATTCACTTTCTTGTTACCTCTGTTGACTAGGCTAATGTTTAAATAAAGGGCTATTTCAAACAAGGAAGAGAAATTGGAAAGTCTTCCCACTTTCTTGTACAGTT